GAGAGAGAAAGAGACAGAGAGAAAGAGACAGAGAGAGAGAGAGAGACAGAGAGAGAGAGAGAGACACACACAGAGAGAGACAGAGAGACAGAGAGAGACACACACACAGAGATGCTCAAATTAATTTTTTAAAACATCAATTTTTACTTCATCGCGTACTGAGGTCTTGTTGAGGCTTTCCCTGGACCGGTCGTGACGGCACGTACGTAAACAGGTAGTCCGATAGGACAACAACAAAAGTGACGTCACAGAGGTGAGAAGTACCATACTTTGAAAGTAAATTTAATTAGCCAGAAACGAAAACGGCTCAGCAAATAAGCGAAGCAATTAAATTCACCACGATGTCTGGCAAGTCACGAGTTGCAACCAAGCTTTACTTTGAAGCAGGAGTTTGAACTTTTAAAGCCAATACGAACTTAGGATTTTCTTGTCATAGAGGGAAAGGGGCATGGGTGAGAGAAGTTTTTGATAAAATGTGGGGTGGACAGGGGCAGTAAACAAGAAATAATGTTAATCTGTTCTCCGAGGATCTGGTTCCATAAAAGGCTGTATTCCGAAATCCTGCTCCGCCCTGTAACATGTAAAGCGTTGACCCCTTTACTGTCTGGTCTGAGATTTTATCTTTAAAATTTCTGTTATCTATTTTTGGGGGTGGGGGTGGGGGTGAGTAAAGGGGGTTTCATGAAAAACAAATTTAACGATTAAGTAGACCATGTCACTAGGTAGAGCTAAAAGAGCTGAGAAAAAAAAAAAACCTGCATGCATATTGAATAAACGGTTCAAAGGTTATGCACGTGTTTTGTGTGAATTTGGACATTTTTCGGGGATAATTAATTACTTACTTATATTGACGAGAGGGTGGCACCATACTATTATTGTGCCAAAATGAGGCATCAGAGAGACAACTTAGCAACAGTCTTCCTTAATTCGAAGAAAACGTTGCTTGCAAAACATACGACAATCATACATTTCAAGAAAGGTTATGTAATGGCCTACAGGATAAACAATGTGTTACATTATATGCAAAGACATGTGACCAAATATGGCCGCCAATATGGCCGCAATTGACGAAACCCGCAAGAGATTTTGACCTTAAAGTGACAAAACACTAAAGTTTTAAAGTCAAAAGTCAACAAAAGTATATATTTTCTTAATCAGCATGACTAGGCGCATCTGAAGTAAAAAAAAGCCCAATAAATCCATTTTATTTTTTAAAATCTTGTTATTTCACCCTGAAAAAAAAGAATGTAGTTGGGCACGGAAAACACGAACATATAAAACTGAAAATCATGAAGAGCTCGTACAAATTGCCATTCCCTGACTGATGTCTCTTCAATTTATTCTCACCGTTAGCCTTTAACTTTAACCCGAACTATGGAAGTGTCGAAGAAATTTGTCAATCCCCGACGTATTTGAATTATTCGTGCCTGACTATAACGATTTTGAATCTAATTCCATAAGAATGCCAACAGTCTTGAGCAAAAGTACACATTCTTTAGATCAGCAAAATGTGATGCATCCAGTGAGAGAGCATGCAACCAAAGATCAGATGGATACAGAGGAAGAAAACCAGTTGTCTGTGGTGTAGCGGTTAGGAGCTTCGCTGTCGCATGTAGGAGACCTAGTGTTGATTCCCAAGAGCGGAGAAATTTGTTTTCTAGATCTAGTATCTCTGTCTGTCTACTGTGATGTTGTATCTCTCTCTCTCTCTCTCTCTCTTTCTCTCTCTCTCTCTCTCTCTC